ACAAGTTCAAATTTTTATTCCTGTTGCTTTATTTCTTCAAATTTCTCACCACTATTACCATTATTTTTAAATTTTGAATGTTTCTTCAGAATCCTTCATGAGTTTACCTTATTTCTGTCCACTAGTTGCTGACTTGTCTGCTACAAACAGTAAGCTCCTTCTATATAAAGGCAGGTAGATATAAAAACTAACCAGACATTCTTTACTGGAGATATTTTTTTATTACTGTGTATATATATTTTTTTATTATTACTGTGTATATATAATTTCTGTACAATGTGGAAGTTGGCACAAGGCCACTGGATTCTGGACACATCCTAAACCAGTTACCAAGAAAACTGGATACCACAGGTAACCAGGTGAGATAGACCAGGTAAAAAAAAAAAAAAACAGCTATAAATATTTCAAGAAAATGTTACAGATCAAGAGCACAAGGTCAAGAGAAAATGACATACCTGGGAGGTCAAAAGGATGAGACCAGGAGACCAAATACTGTGATTGACAGCTTCTTGTGACTAACTGGCAAGTAAAACTTTAAAGGCTACACCACTGGGTTTAGAGAACTGCAATATATGGTAATCAAACAGAAATTAATGTATTCACATTTAGTAGTGGTCAAATATTAAATAGGCTACCAACACAATTCACTAAGTACAAGTGACAGAGTAAGCTCGTACATTACCAGGATTGAAGTGAAATGGTAAAGCAAGAACATAACAAATGTTCTTGGACTCACGAAATCGTAGTGACACGATTGCAAACAAACCATACCATGGGTGGGGATAGAACCTGCGATCAGAGAGTCTCAAAACTCTGGTCCAGTGGCTAACGCGACGGTCTGGAGTTTTGAGACTCTCTGATCGCGGGTTCTATCCCCGCCCGTGGTATGAAATGTTCTTGGAATTAGTATAAATATTAAAAGGTATACGAAGGCAATGAAATGATAGTATGCCACAAAATGACAAGTGGATGTAAACTATCATGCTATCAACAATACCACAGTCATAATTTAAATGTTCTACCAGTTATTGCTGCAGTTTACATTAATGGCTTTTGTGGCTTTGTCATAATTATTTGGGGGAGGGAGTTAGGGAGAGTGTATATGTACATGCACGCACGCATGTGCGCGCGCACACACACAGCTATGATTCGACCCCTGCAACCACAATTAGGTGAGTATACACACACACATGGGGCCAGAAGCTGTGACTCGACCCTCACAACCATAACTAGGTGAGTGCACACACACACACCAAGAGCTATGACTCGACCCCTGCAACCACAACTAAGCGAACACACACACACACACACACACACACACACACACACACACACACACACACACACACACACTCTCACACCCACACCACACACCACTCACACTCACTCTCACCACACTCACTCTCACACTCACACTCACTCTCACACTCCATTCACTCTCACACTCACACTCACTCTCACACTCACACTCACACTCACTCTCACACTCACTCTCACACTCTCACACACACACTCTCTCACACACACACTCTCTCTCTCTCTCAAGATGCAAATAATAAACCACAGGGAAAGGTTATAAACAGAGCTTGAGGCCCATTGGTATAATGTCTCAAGAAACTAGGTCACTGAATGCTTTAGCTGTGAAGTCCAAAGAATGTATTATAAACCAGATGTTCCTCTGAAGAAACACAGGACACCAGTGAGTGTATTGTTGGAATGACAACATTTCAGGAAAAACAAAAGAGGCACCCACCAGTTATAAGATATTGCGAGAGCAAACAACACTGAAGCTCAATATAAAGTGGTTATCATATGTGTGAACATCTCCTATGGTTATTATATGCCTGGTGAATATACATGTTATAGGTAATCTAGTGTTTGTTTATACTAGATTGTGTAAGGTTCACAGCTGACAACTGACAGGCTAATTTTACAAACTGATAACTTAAATACTTGAGAGAAATCTTATTTAGTTGTCCATTATATGGGACTGATTTAAATCTTATCGATACAAGTATTATCACAAAGAACACACTCAATTTTTAGCAGTGTCAGTGTTTGTTAGTTTGAAAACTACATAATTAACAATAACAGTTACTATGTCAACACAATATATTTCAGTTTCAAAATTACAAAATCCCTTCTGGGAATATAACTTTCAAGTCATTTTAAAGACTGAGAATCTGCTAAATTGGTCACAGCTTCCATTAATTACTATACGTTATAGTACAGCCTCTCCTCACCTAGCGACGTACTCGTTTACCGATGACTCGGACTTACAACAGACTCTCTTGACTAGTGTGCCTACCTAAATAATGTATATTAGAGCTGATTTCCTCTATTCTCTTTATTACAATATACAGTACACTACTGTATCAACATTTAAAAATATACCAGAAATGTTATAAATGGTGCAAAGGTGACATTAAAACAATATCAAAGATGGTTGACACAAACCCACTACCATTATAGTATGCTCCTCACTTAGCGACTAATTCATTTGCCAACGTGGTCATAGGAACGGAACTCTGTCGTTAAGTGAGGAGAGGCTGTACTACAATTTATTCTTCATGGTTTCAGAAACTGTTGGAAAGTGAACCAGCCTCCAATATTCACTGAGTACATTAAAACCTTCAGGTTTTACAAAACGAAGATTCAGAAAAGAAAATTCAAAATTCACACAGAAATTTATGTAGCTAATGTGAGTTGGCATGGTACTGTGTGAAAAATTAAAGCTTGTTCATCCTCAAATAATGAGTAAATGACTAGGACAAGAAAATATGACCCTCATAGTGAGTGTGACTATTTTTACACCAACAACATTTAAAGTTATTTTTTAATAAAGCACTAGTCTGAAGGGTTGAGTTTTCTATTACGATCATATGCTTATTTTTTTGTGGGAAGAAAGAGATTTGTCATATAAAATGTTATTCCTGCCTACATTACCAGCTTAAATTTCTTTATTAATTTGGGGCTTTCTTTCCTAAAACTTTGTTCTGTAATTGAACATACTGTATCATTTTGTTAACACACAATATTAAGTTGGAGAATGCTAGTTGGGGTCATTTTCCAACTGTTTTTGGAGTTATGGAATATAAAGCGAGTATAACATACAGCACTTGTTTTCACAAAGGTTGTGCCGTATTTACCGTTCTTTGGGGGAATATTATAACAAATTTAGATTTTTTAAGACTTTGGCTTCACTAGTGAAATATAGGGCGTGGTAACATTAATTTGTTACTAATTATACAACTTTCAAACTCATACCAACCTAGTGCAATGAATTATGATCCCGTTTGTGACAGTACAAGGTGTTTAATAAACTTAGCCCATGAAGAATCTATATTATTGTAACTCATTGTTTTTCTTTTCCGGTGATTTAGGTATGAGAATGGTGTTTAACTCACAGGTTGTTTTCTTGAGGTTTTTTAATTAACTCTTATTCAAATCAGCCTTGTATACTGAAGGGCTATAGGTCATTGCTTGGCACACAGTACACATTAACAGTTAAAGCATTAACATTATTATTATAATCAAGGGGGAAGTACTAAACACGTAGGATTATACAGCGCCTGTGGGGGAATGTGCAAGGTATTCAGGCTTAATACAGGGATCTGGAGCACAGGTCCAATTACCTAGATCAAGAGCCCCTCACCAGCATCAATTCAGTAATATGATTTGCCATGTACATTTGTATGAAAAGCCTAGTGGTTAACACACTAAAAATTATTGTAATTTACTAACCAGCAATTAGTTTTCACAAGTTGCATCTCGTTTGAATACTATGTACTTGTATTATTAAGTCTTGATCCCTCAAGGAACAGGATTTAGCCACCCTTTTCTTGGGTTGAATCTGAGTGACTCCCAGGTGCTGTACAAGCCCTTTGGGTTTAGCGCTTCCCTGTGATTATAATAACATTTAAACCCTGCATAAGAATGGAGTCAAATATGATTTTTTCCCGAGCTAGTTTAGTTTATGGTGTCTAAAATTAGCTTGTGGTAGTTGCTGACTGTGAACTTTACAATTGTATATCCATTAGTAATATGTAGACTATCAATCATTGGGCATATAATAACCATAAGAGTTGTTGAAGTTATTATCCTCTTGCCAAACTACTTGATTTTTACCTATACTATCTGGTGGGTGCATCTCCTGGGGTCTCCTGAGAAACATGTGGCACTACAGTCTTCTGTATTTGAATAACTTAACTTCTGAAAACAGTTTAAACTGAAAGGCCTCAATCTGTTATGAATTTCCCTTAGTAGTTTATTTGTATAAAAGCCTGTCTTGCAATGCTTTTTGCACGTGTCTTAACCTCCAAAAATGGAGGGTATTAAGACATTTAAGCTTCACTATATTGGTTAATTTATTATTTGTATACATTTAATAAAAACAGTAGCTATTGAATAGGGTCAGGTTGCCTATTGTGATACAGTAAAAAAAATCAAATATAATTTCGTAGGTTGTCCAATCTTGTTCCATGCAACAAAGTAAAAATTAACGTAAAAGCCTGAGGAATCTTTAAATTGTGTAATCAATATTTAGCTGAATTTTCTTTAGAGAAGCCCAACATCCTGATGCCTAATTAGACAATCCACAACTATCAATAAAAATTGTGTTAATGATTTTAAAGAAAATAAGATTTTTGGTTTCTGAACCCATGGTTTGTAACAAAGCTTAAGGAGTGAAGAATAAAAAAAAATAATTTAGCATACAACCACAAGGCATTGACATATTCTACTCCAGCAATTTAAATCTCAAGATATCAAGGGCTTATTAAGTCTAAGCTATAAAACTCTTTATAGCCTAAACTCCTTAACAATAACTAACCCAGGGATCAGTATTCATTTTCTTTATTTTATATTTTTGTTGGGGAAGGAGAGGGTAGGTGGAAATTCCAGTTTAGAGGTTGCTTGTCAATCATGTACCAAATTACTTTTAAATATTATAGTATTCCTTTATAAAGCTTCATATGTTATGAAATGAATAAGCAGACATGTATACTTGATGGTCATTAGCCTGTCAAAGGTTGCTTTTTTAATTGACCAATCTATTTATTTAAATGCAACACAAACTGCAAGAAACTATTACCCGTAGGATCCTCTGCCTTAATCCCCAATGGCATGCGTTGTGTGCTTAACAGGTACTTGAGAATTTTGACAACTAGATTACTTGATGAACAATATGTTCTTGCAGGTACTAGAAATATTTTCTTAGCATTTACATGTATACAATTTGTTTCCCATCATAGATCACATTTTAATCATAAATTTCATAATTGAAATTTTTATCAAGACTAAAATTATTTTTAAAGCAGAGGAAACCCTTAAGTAGTTTAGAAACATGAAAGAAGTTGAAAATGGATGGATCAATCATACATAAAATAATCTGGCAGGCAGTAACATGTACTTATTATTTAATTACATGAAAAACATACATTCACCCAATTTACTTTTTACAGGACTCATAACTGCACATAGAAGCATTATGGACAGAAAACAGTCAAAGAAAAGCAAGAAAAATTTGTATACACATTATCAAACACATTAAACCATAAAAAATAAATTGTTACAGTAAAAATGTAAAAAATTCCTGACCCATCACATTCCTGTAGATTTTGGGTCAGCTTAACATCTTTACAAAAAATACAAAAAACTTATCCAATGTACAATATACACCTTTACACATTTGGTTTTGTAACTAACTGGTCAGAACACAAAATGAATACCAACTAGTATCCAAGGCTGTCAATTGTCTGTTATAAAAACTGACATGTAATCACCAGTTATCCAACATTAACTACTTGCTGCTAGTTCATAGTACAGTCTAACATGCATGTGGCAGCACTGACCATATTTCAAAAACCAGTTTGTAAATTCCATATATCCTTTTGTGTGTTGATACTGTTGTGTCTAGATGGCTGGTTTAGTGTTAGCTGATGTAAAACTATGATGGAGGAGTCTAAGCCTGGGTGTACAGCATCTCATGCCAACTTCCTGGCTGGCACAAATAACTGCAAGTCTCTCACAAAGCCCATGCTATTTATCCAAAGGCAACACCTAACTAGTTCCATGCTCACATGGAAACCTTACCACTGCTGTTTAGTAACCAGACCTGGTTGTAGCACCATTGGACAAAACCACCAAGCTCACCACAATACATGTAACAATCTCCTTAATATTATGATTTAAAGGTAATTTACGTCAATAAGGACATTAAGAAATATAAATTCATATTTAAATGGAAATATACTACTGACTTCTGAAGTCTTTACAGTTGCCCATTCCAGTTAGACTGGAGGCACCCTGCAGAAAGGTTGGTGAGAAAGCCAATTTCCTCAACATTGCTTTGCTACCATAAGGAAACTATGAACAGTGGCAACATTAAGTAACAATCTTAAATATGTAATAATAACATTAAGCCTCCTTTCAGGTGCAAGTGGGGTAACACGTGTAACAAGACAAGTGGCCACTAATGTCGCAGTCGTCATTGCCGTGTACTGAGATGTGTCGAGTCTGATCGTTTTGGTGGAGGTGGTGGCGGTTTCTTCCTCCCAGGCATAGTCTGGGATAAGCGGTGCAGGTCATCAGCATGTGGTGGGGGTGAAGGTTGCAAAGTGTGGCTATTAATTGGTAATGCTGCATCTACAGAGTCAGCACTAGGAGGGATACCATGCGGAGAAAGGTTCTCATATAAACTGCCATAATGTTCCTGAATCCAAGCCCCAACATTCCGTTCTGCTTCACTAGGCAAAATTGGATCTCTAAATCCCAAAACTTCATGAGGCATTTTATCAAAGTCTTTGCATTTCTGTGCTACTTGCCACTTTTTCTGCATTACACGTTGCAGATTATTTAAGAAAGACCTTGGTGGAGTAATCTTGTTCCCTGGACTATCTAAACGGCCTGGATTTATCGACAGCCTCGTGGATTCTGAACGTCGTGGAAGAGGTGGTTTTGCAGTTGGGGACTCGGGTGTTGGAGGTATATTCTGTACATCATCCATGAAAGTAATTCTTTTGACTTTTTTCTGTGGACTCTTTTGTGGCTGTGCATACACTGGTTGGTGTGGAGGAGGAGAAGGTGGTGGTGGTGGTAATGGAGAGTCTGGATGCCAGCCACCATTATGACTGGATGAATGTGAGGCTGGTTGCGAGTTAGGCCCTACATTGGCATTATGAGCACGCAATTCAACCAAGAATGGTGGTGAAACATAGGTCATTGATTCATTCAAGTCCCGCTTTGGTTTTGGTGCTACTGCAGGTGGTGTCACCGATTGATAAACTGGTGAACCAGTAGATTGGTATATAGGTGAACCAGATGTTTGATAAACAGGAGAACCTGCAGTTTGATAAATAGGGGAGCCACCATACACTGGTGAATCTGCACCCTTTGGCTTAGTTGACTTAGGTGTACTGGGTAGAGGTAATGGCAGACCATGGGGTGGAGGGTGTGGCACATTAGTTTGTGATGGTAAACTTGAGTGCGGTGGTGGGAGTGGTGGCACTCCTGAATGAGGTGGACTAGATGGTTTTGGTGGACTAGGTGGTGGTGGTGGTGGTAATGAAGTGATGCTGGCCATCATGAGATCTTCTGGATTGATGGGTGGCAAAGAATCCTCATCAGGTGGAGGAGGAAGTGAATTAAGGCTGAGGGTTGATGCCAGTAATTCTGGTGGTGGTGGCGGCAAACATTCCATGGCACATTCAGACAGTTCATGTGGTGGTGGTGGTAATGGCAAACTATCCATCTCCTCCTCTTGAGGCACTGGACTTGACATACTACTACTGGTACTTATGATATTACTTGATGCACTACTACTACTAACACTGGTTCGTGACTGGGAATTACGTCTGCGTAATGTGTTAACTTCGTCTGTCAGTGAGCGACGCGCACACTGGCGAATTGTTCCTCGCCCTGAAGCAGAGTCTATGACATCTTCTCCTTCCACTTCCTTAACAAGTAGTCTTGTAGTTGATGTAAGGGGAAGCTTGGGGTTATTGGATGGCTTCCTTTTAATAGTTCCCTGTGGAAACTCTGACTCAAATCCATGCTCCCCAGTTGGAGTACCTGCTGACGAACGTTCACTTAAACAACCACTTGAACTACTGGAAGATCCACTCTTGAGGCTGTCCTGCCGCCAGACGGGTGGACGGCCTAATGTGTTCACTGGAGTATCTTGTGAAGATGACCCAGCTGAAGACTGTGCATCGTCATCGCCTTCTTCCCCATCAGCAACACTTGGTGCGAGACTTGGGGCCAAGCAAGAGTCTAGAGAACGGGATTCAGAGGACGGCGTAGTGGCCTGGGATGCCCCACGCGATCCTCCACCCATGCCACTTTGCCCTGCCATTGAAGCTATGCTGAAAGATCTTGAAGAAGCCAGCATGTCAATGTCCTCCTGGGCCAAGTCTTCAACTAATGCTCGATAATTTTCAAGGAGTCGTCTTCCACTCTGTTGATAAGGATAACTGATAATCTCTAAAGCAAACAGCTAAAAAAAAAAAAAGTTCCACAAAAGTACACACACTATTACATGCATACAATTTCACTAGTTTAAAAAATTAAGGTAAACAATTATTGATATCAAAGAAAAATTGGATGGGATTCAAACTCATGGTTCAGTGAGGGTGAATCCAGCACTCGGCTATCAGTTTCAAATCCTACCCACTTTTTTTTTTAATTTACTTGGTCATTTGTTACTACTGGCCAAGGGCTGGGCTGCAGGAATAGGAAAAAAAAACTTAAACCCTTCAAAAGTATGAGGAATTTAATTAAACATGATTTTCCCTATTTCTCCAGGGTCACTATAATGATTCCTTATGAGTGAGTTCTACCAGGGAGGTACTACCATCCTGCCAAGTGAGTGTGAAACGGAAACCTGTAATTGTTTTACACAACAGTAGGATTGCTGGTGTCTTTTCATGTCTCATAAACATGCAAGATAACACATACATCTTGCTACTTCTATGTACACTTGGGTCACACTACACATGCATGTACACATACGTACGTGTGTGTATGTACGCACACCCACACACATCTTTCTTCTTTCAACATACCATCTGTATCCCACCAAGGCATGATGGCCCAAAAAGAAAAGTTTCTCTTTATAACTTTAGTAGTGTATACAGGAGAAGAGGTTACTAGCTCTTTGCTCCCAGCATTTTAGTTGCCTCTTATGATATGCATGGGTTACAGAGGAAGAATTCTGTTCCATTTCCCCATGGAGATGAGAGGGAATACGCAAGAACAAGTACGTACTAGTAAGAAAATAGGAGAAAACCCAGAGGGGTGTGTGTATATACAGTAGGGTTTTGCTTTACGGCATTCCGTTAATATGGTCATTTCAAATTATGACCAAAACTCGCTATACAGTTCCCCCCACCTGACTTTCTAATACGGTCACTGCACCCCACCCGGTTTGTTTACATTCTCTGTGAGATCCAAGCACTAAGTCTCTCCATTATGTCTGGAAACAACAAAATTTCAAGTGTTTTTAAAAGTTGTTTCATATTTTATATATACAGTGGTCCCTCGCTTTTCGTAGTTCTCAGCAATCGTAAATTTCGCCAATCATAGGGGTATTTTCGTATAAACATGGACTCGCTTTTCATAGGATGACTCGCGAATAGTAGTTCGTCCGGGACATGTATGCACGGTGTGAGCCAAGGCGGCCTCCCTACCCAGCCAGTCTGGCATTGTTTACCAGTGAGTGAAGGTCCCCTCAAGTGCTCCTACGAAATATTTCATAATATTCCACTCATTTTAGTGCTTTCAAGTACAGTGGACCCCCGGTTAACGATATTTTTTCACTCCAGAAGTATGTTCAGGTGCCAGTACTGACCGAATTTGTTCCCATAAGGAATATTGTGAAGTAGATTAGTCCATTTCAGACCCCCAAACATACACGTACAAACGCACTTACATAAATACACTTACATAATTGGTTGCATTCGGAGGTGATCGTTATGCGGGGGTCCACTGTACTAAATAAGCTACCATGGCTCCAAAGAAAGCTCCTAGTGCCAAGCCTGTAGTAAAGAAGGTGAGAAATATGTACAGTGACAAAGTCTTGGGCCATTTTAGGGAAGTGTTAAAGAGACGCCAGAAACAGAGCTCTCTCTCCACAGTTACTTTCCGAGACAGGACTAGAGTGACTCTCAAGGTGGTCCTAGTGGCATTAAGAAACAGAGAAGAGAAGCAATTGGTACCTGAGGTGTTGCTGGAAGGGGATTCCCCTTCCAAACAGTAAACAATCCAATCTCTCTCCTCCTCCAGTCTCCCATACACTAAGAAGAATCTCCACTAAAGGTAAGTGTTATGCTGTTAATGTTTCAGTCATCATTTCCCATTGTATTGTTTATGTACTACATGTATATTTCATGTAAAAAAAATTTTTGTTTTAATACTTCTGGGTGTCAGGTACGGATTAATTGTATTTACATTATTTCTTATGGGGAAAATTGATTTGCAAATCGTAAATTTCGTTTATAATAGCTCCTCCAGGAACGGATTAATTACGAAAAACGAGGGACCACTGTACTCCGATAATTATACTTTTGTATACCTGTACCTAAATAAACTTACACACTGTGCTGGCATGCAGGCACACATTAAAATCAGTAAGAGTGCCTTATGTCTCAAGACGTCATATTAGTAATGATGATAATCATCGAGTCTCATTAAATGTCGTATATTACGTTAATATACATATTTTCGTTAATCCATCTATGATATTTTTTCAAAATTATACAATACACACGATGCATAACATATAAAGATGATAAATACACCCCACAATAGAACAAATAAACATAAATATGAGATGTGGTAGCCAGACTTGTACAAGTGATGGCAAGAATAACACTTTCTCTAGTCTAACATAAGAGAAAATGTGTTACTGGGGTAACTGTAGAAAATTATTCCTTTTGTATGTATGTAAGTTTATTCAGGTATACACAAATACAGTTACATAGATTATCATACATAGCAGTATGTATGTAGAGAACCTAGGATAACCCAAAAAAGTCAGACAGAGCGACTTATTTCCATTGCCTTCACTCAGAGCGTCATTTCTTCTAAAAATGGTGTTACATGAGAATGGGAGTGTTCTTTATTTATTGTACCGTATCAATGTAGAAACAACTTGTACACAATGTAACTTGCACACAAATCAGACGTGTACACTTTGTTTACAAAATTTACCTTCGCCTGGTTTGTTTACATAACTGCACCTGTACTCTCTCATGCACTGACTCTCTCTCTCATTTATTCATTTTGTCTCGTTTACTCACCCCTGACCCTACATTAAGACTACAAATATTTTAAGGTAAGTAATGAGTGAACTGTATATGCATTTTATCGCTCTGGGATGCTTAAATATCATAGAATATTGTGTGTAGGTGGGGTGGCCTGATATGATGGCCCGGCTGACTACCATACATACCACACTTGATTTCTTACGATAAATACTACTCATCTCACCCTAGATCAAGACTACAAATATTTTAAGGTAAGTAACGAGTAAACTGTACAGTGGAACCTCTCCTAACGAACGCATCGCATAACATTAAATCCGCCTAGCGATACATTTTAACGCAAAAATTTTGCCTCGGCTAGCGCTAAAAAACTCGCTCAAAGCGGTTCGTTCGAGATACGTGCGGCCTGAGCCCACCTCACTTGTTCCTTGGGTGCCAGTGTTTACAAGCCAGCCACCACGGTCGCTTCCAAGCATACAATCGGAACATTTCATATTATAACAGCCTTTTTAGTGATTGCACCTGCAAAAAAAGTCGCCATGGGTCCAAGAATGCTTCTAGTGCCAACCCTACAGCAAAAAGAGTGAGAATTACTATGGATATGAAGAAAGAGATCATTGCTAAGTATGAAAGTGGAGTGCGTGTCTCCGAGCTGGCCAGGTTGTACACAAAACCCCAATCAACCATCGCTACTATTGTGGCCAAGAAAACGGCAAGCAAGGAAGCTGTTCTTGCCAAAGGTGCAACTTTGTTTTCGAAACAGAGATCGCAAGTGATAGAAGATGTTGAGAGACTCTTATTGGTGTGGATAAACGAAAAACAGATAGCAGGAGATAGCATCTCTCAAGCGATCATATGTGAAAAGGCTAGGAAGTTGCATGACGATTTAATTAGAAAAATGCCTGCAACTAGTGATGTGAGTGAATTTAAGGCCAGCAAAGGTTGGTTTGAGAGATTTAGAATCGTAGTGGCATACATAGTGTGATAAGGCATGGTGAGGCTGCCAGTTCGGACCACAAAGCAGCTGAAGAATATGTGCAGGAATTCAAGGAGTACATAGACAGTGAAGGACTGAAACCTGAACAAGTGTTTAATTGTGACGAAACAGGCCTGTTTTGGAAGAAAATGCCAAGCAGGACCTACATTACACAGGTGGAAAAGGCACTCCCAGGACATAAGCCTATGAAAGACAGGCTTACTCTGTTGTTGTGTGCCAATGCTAGTGGTGATTGCAAAGTGAAGCCTTTATTGGTGTATCACTCTGAAACTCCCAGTGTCTTCAGGAAAAACAATGTCCTCAACATGACTCACGAAATCGTAATGACACGATTGCAAACAAACCATACCCTGGCCGGGATTGAACCCGCGGTCAGAGAGTCTCAAAACTCCAGACCGTCGCGTTAGCCACTAGACCAGCTAACGCGACGGTCTGGAGTTTTGAGACTCTCTGACCGCGGGTTCAATCCCGGCCGGGGTATGGTTTGTTTGCAATAGTGTCATTATGATTTCGTGAGTCATGTTGACTGCAGTGAGGGGACTTGAGCTAGAGTTCGTCATGGCCACGCTAGCTGGAGATTCGTCTGTAAAATCTCGCATTTGTGGTCACAGTGGTGCCTATGCTAACCTTCCTATGGTGTAGAAATATACCTAGTTGGACGAATCTTATTGTGGCTAGCTGGTCTAGTGGCTAACGCGACGGTCTGGAGTTTTGAGACTCTCTGACCGCGGGTTCAATCCCGGCCGGGGTATGGAATGTCCTCAATGCTAATTTGTGTGTGCTGTGGAGGGCAAACAGTAAGGCATGGGTCACTAGGGACTTTTTCTATGACTCGTTACACCATCCATTTGACCCCCACCGTGAAAAATTACCTAATTAAAAAGAAATTAGACCTTAAGTGCCTCCTGGTATTAGACAATGCTCCTGGTCATCCTTCAGACGTGGCAGAGCGACTTTCTGCGGAAATGAGCTTCATTAAGGTCAAGTTTTTACCTCCTAATACCACTCCTCTCCTGCAGCCCATGGACCAGCAGGTCATTTCCAACTTCAAGAAACTGTACACAAAAGCTATGTTTGAAAGGTGCTTTGTAGTGACCTCAGAAACTCAATTGACTCTAAGAGAGTTTTGGAGAGATCACTTTAGCATCCTCAATTGTGTAAACATTATAGGTAAGGCTTGGGAAGAAGTGACTAAGA